ATCCTGTCTTGGGTGTCGTTCTGGATCAACATGGATGCAGCTCCCGCAAGGGTGGGATTGGGAATCACTACTGTGCTCACCATGACAACACAGAGCTCTGGCTCCAGGGCCTCCCTGCCAAAGGTCAGAAGCAAATTTCAGCAAGTTATCTGCTGTTTACTAAAAAGATAAAGTCAGAATGAAAATACAGAGGGGTTGTATGATTCCAAGAAAGTCAAATCAGATAAAATAGATTTAACAAGAGAATTTCTTAGCACCCAAATTTCAGTTTCTAATTGGACTACTCAACCTCACATTCATATTTAGCATCACCAGTCAGCTTAGCATGCATTTCATCGGGCTGTGGGATAATTTAGTTTTAACTTTTTTTCTAAGTGAATGGTATAATCAGTTTAATAAAATTTTTTTTATGTATTTAACATAAATATTATAAATGGAAATAATTAAATAATATAAAAATACAATAATATATCATCTTTCTTCACTCAGTCCAAAAGGAACCCCTTGCTGACCACATCCCAATGCTGAAGAACTACCTTAATAATGCACATTAACGCAATTGAATAATAGTAATATTCCAGTTGTATTTTTAAAAAAGAAATCAGTGGCTTATACTTGATGCAAACTATTTTTGCTATGTTGACAGGTTTTATTAGTATTTTCTTTTGTGTATATGTACTGGAGGCTTCATTCAGCTGAGCTGGTGTTAAACTTCTTTCTGATTCTGATATTAATTGAGACAGTTGATTGTTATGGTTATGCAGGTATCCTATGTCAAAGCCATAGACATCTGGATGGCGGTGTGTCTTCTGTTTGTGTTTGCTGCACTACTGGAGTATGCAGCCGTCAACTTTGTTTCACGCCAGCACAAGGAGTTCTTCAGAATGAAAAAGAAACTCAAAGAGCAGCAGCAGCAGCAGAGAACTGTAAGTGCAGCCCACCCACTCAGGCCCTCAGGCAGCTGTCACCTGCTATTCCCTGTGCCCAGCTCTGCACGAGCTGCTACTCACCTGCATGCTACACTCCAGTCAGGAAAAGCACACAGCACTGACCTGTGATTAATTCAAGCCATCACCTTATTCTACTGCTGGCTGAATGTTCTCAACATCATGGATATCATGAGAAAGGGAAGAATAAGGAAGACAAATTAGGATAAATTACCCTTAAACTAGATGAGGCTCTTCTTTTGGCCAGTTCTTCACATTTTTGAGAAATTTGGCCTTCATTAAGGCAAGTTAAAGCAATGTGACAGCAGCTGAAGAGCTCTTTATACCTTTTATAATATTTATGCCTCAGTACACCCGACATCTGCTTTGATCTGCAGTGCAATACAATGCATGTGGCCTGACATCTATGCAGTAGAGCAAAGTTGTGCCAGTTTTGCAAACTGTTCAGTCAGTGCAGTCTGTTTGACGATTAAATAATTGTGCCGGCTTTCCCCCCACACTCACCCGCAGGGGACCGGTGAAAGTAAGGTGAAAGGAAACAACATGTCAGGGAACAATGCTCCTCATGGGAATGCATCCCAGCAGTGCAGTGCCTGTGCCAGGGTATGTACTGTTGCCTTGCTCACCAGCCAATTGCTGGCTCCAAAAAAAGAAAAAACAAACAAACAGTTTAGCTTAGTGATTTGCAGTGAGTCTGTGCTGTGTCTTTGTCTTCCAGGAGGAGGAGCTGGCACAGCAGGGTTTTCTGCTCCAGAGTATTGGACTTGCACTGTCCTCTCAGGAAATGGATGCAACACCCATTTTTGCTGATCTACCTCCTGGTTTGGGTTTCTATGAGATACGGAGGCGTTTTGTGGATCGGGCCAAAAGGATTGATACCATCTCCCGAGCTGTTTTTCCCATGAGCTTCCTGATGTTTAACGTCCTTTATTGGGTTACCTATAAAGTTCTGCGACATGAAGACGTCCAAGGAATACTGTGACAGACTGAGGACCATGAACAAGTTGGCTACTTCCTTCACTGAGTCCTCAGTTGAGTCATGCAAGATGTGTTTTGACTGCATGTTCAGTGCCACTGAGCAATTCTGTGACCTGGAAGAGTCCAGCGGTTTCTTTACATTTTGAATAACAAAATGCACTTTTTATTAGCACTTATGCATTTTCACATTAGGTTACTGTGTGCATTTACAGTTCCATCAAGTCAAAGTTCTATAGAGGAAAATCTGTGCGTGCAGTTGCTGTAGCCTCACATGTACTCAGACTGCACCTTTACTTTTTTACTGTGCACGAATTTTACAGTGGGCATTGTGCAAAAACACATGTCTGCAGTATCATTGAAAACATGTACTTGTTATTCACCGTAACTGTGATTCAAAGGAATCAAGAGTCTGATTGCAGGCTGCAAATATTATGGAATATGAATTTATATGATATTAGGTTTCCTGCTGAAGGAGCTTAATCTGTAATAAAGACTTGAATATCCTGTTTGAGAAATATGTTTGCTTGAAAAATACTTTGATCTCTTTGAATTAGTAATATTCATCTCAACCATCTGAACCTTTAGTTTCATATCTGCATACTGGCCAGATGTTGATATTATTAATATTTTATCAGGAACAAGAGTAACGTTATGTAAATGCAATTAAGGTAAGAAATATAGTATTATTAGAAACTAACAACTTCCAGAGAGCACTGTACTATTCCAAATAGTTTCTATTCATATGGTATTAAACACAGAGAAATAATCATTAACTACAGTGAGGAAATAATGTTTCAGTTTTTCAGAACCTGGCTTATTTGGTTGTCAGAATAGCTTTTTAAGCTACACACATCTGGTACTGAGTTCTCCTAAGGGCTTGCAGAAAGTGTGTTTTACTGGTGTTTAACAAAGCCCACCTAAATTACACAGTAGGAGTACACTCTGTCTCTTCTTATCGAATAATCTCTGGAACACGTTGTTGGTACAGCTAAAATAAATACAGTTCAAAAAGTAGCGCAAAACCTTCACTCTTGACCCCATGGGAGGAGCTAGAGGTGACCATAGCCACATCGGAACAAAGCCTGACCACCCAACACAACCAATGGTGATGCATTAGAGCACTACGCAAACACTACTATTTTACTAGAAGAACACTTTATGTGGGACAATTTCTCAATAGTGTATTTTTACAGTACTCATATAAATGTACATTTTTTCTACACTTAAACAATTCCAGATCTGGTTTACAGTGAATGCAAAGTATAATCTAGACTTAGCATAAAGATCCTCCGCAATCCTAATAAACCTCGATAGTCTCAACCTTGTCATTGTATTAGAAATGGTCTGTTTCTGCCACCGTTTTGCCACCAGGGATCCAGTCCCTCATTTTATTGCTATTGTTAGGGTCCACGTTCCCCTTTAAAAAGGAGGGTCCGCTTAAATCAATAGAAACTTGTTCTGAGCGATCACTTTCATTCTGTGATGACGTATTTCTTTCCTGATGGGAGTGTTGTCTTACAGGATGACAACACATCCATCCATAGGGCACAAACAGTCACTGAAGGGTTTGATGAACATCCACAGTAATGGGAATTGTATGCTATGGTGTTTTGCATTCCCTAATTTTGAACCATCAGGGCTCAACAACAGCCATCATCCAAACACCTAATGAGGGTCTATTATCCCCACTGTACAGTTCTAGAGACTTTGAGAATCAATGCCAAGGCACAGTGAAGCTGTTCTGATGGGACACGGTGCTCCATGTCCCATCGCTGTTGTTTCTCACCTATCTGCAATTTAATGTGAAATTCTAAAGTTATTATAGTGTTACCTTTCATTGTTTAATGACAGATGAAAAAAGTTTGGTTCATTCAGACAACATTCAATTAAGTTGAATGTTTGCTTAATAGAGCTGACATTTTATTTCAAAAACTATCAGATCTATCTCACAAATGCTAAACTGCATTTCATTACATTTGTCTTCCATCTGATGCCCGAGTCAGTCTTCATTATGTTTGCAAATGATAAATAAGCCATGCAATAAATACTTTTTGAGCAATAACTTGTTCAGTACATCACATGAATTTTGTTCTTAAGGTATTGCTAGGTTAACATTTCTAGTCCATCACATGGTTTTAGCTTTTTATAAAATCAAGTTATCACATGAATTATTCATTTTAAAAAGTAGAAAAAGGGCAAACATCAGCACTGAGACTGTGTGAAACTAGTGTGACCTCTTTTTTTCCCCTCCTAAAAAGTGTCAAAGATAAGAGGATCCTTGACACTATACTGTATTTGTGCGAATCAGCTACCCTCACGATGACGAATCCAGAATCGATGTTCATTTCAGTCGTTTTCTTCTACTATATTATACTCACCCTTGGATAACTACACTTGCATGCGTGAGCTTAGCTCAAACAAGGGACCGCCACCACAATTTCTTGCCTTTGTTTTGAATGAAAATTTGTCTTTTTTCTTTTTAGAGCTATACATTATTCAGGCCTAGTATTGTGTCCTATGGGGTATTTACCCAAATACTATGCCGAAGTTGAATTTTATTGTATGCACTTTTACATCACTCATGTAATTGTATGAAAAGCTACTTCTTCTACAACACTGTATGTAGTGTTTGTACTCTGGGGTTCACTCTAATTGTTTAAAGCATACAGGTTAATATAAAAAACATATGATGCTATGTTGTTAAAGAATTAGCTAACCAGAAGTATATTAAGTAAAAACAATATACACACTGATTAATAAGTAACTATGACTCAATAATGTGTATTATCACAGAAAAGGCCCATTTTTACACTGGGTATTTCAAGTACATACTGATGCTACTTGCTAAGTAAGATTTTAAATCCCAAAATTAGATTCAAGGTAAAGGATTTTGCAACACTATGCAAAATACCTAGTAAATACCAAATAATATTCACACTCTTATAGTGTCACTTTTCCTGCTATATTACTTTTTAGGTATGTTGGGGCTCAGCATTGTGACAAGGGCCTGAAAAATAATGCACAAGCCAATTTAACGACTCACGGTTTTACAGTAGAACATTGCACTCTAAGAAGATGATCAATGTTCCTCACTTCCCCAACAAAGCAGTCTCTATGGCTTTGTAATTTTTTTAGCCACAAGAGGGTGGTGTTGGTCCGTTAAAGTCCTGCATAAGCAACGTTGCACTGTGCCGACCCCAGTTTGCACAAAAGTAAAGCACATAAACCTTCCTTTTTACACTG